AACTTCACTTGCGCTGTCGCTTACCTAACATCTATAGTGTTTTCAAAGTTCCGCATTTCAAATGGAATGCGAGAAGAGATGATTACTTTATTAAGATGAAGTAAAATGTTATTTGAAGAAAATATTAAAAATCTGTTAAAACATTAAATATGTTTTAATAAATAATAATAAATTGTTGATGTTATTTATGTTAAAGAAAGTCAATGAATTAATAACAAAATTAAAAAGAAAAACAAAATTTTCAATAAATATTTTCAAAATACTACTCACCTTAAAGAAAGAGAAAATTTACGCGAATTTTTGTTATAAATGATAATGAAATTTGAAAAATTTATTCTATTGTTAAGTAAATGACAAAAAAAAAAAAAAGAGCAACAAATTTAAACACATTTCATTATTTAATTGAACTCACTAAGGCACTTGGGAAAATGGAAGACTTTTTCGCTTTTTTATTTATTTATTTTTTTTTTTTATTTATTGTTTTTTTTTTATTTAATATTATTATTGTTATTATTATTATTATTATTACTTGATGAAAACCAGTTTAATGAAGATTTATAACGTTATTCGTTATACGATTCAATTCAATTCAATTCAAATGTAATCAAATAAATTATGAACTAATGCTGACGCGAAAAAAAAACAGAAACGAATAAATAAATAAAATCCATTATTAACATTAGTTTGTTCAAAGTTGTTTCTTAACGTGAAACGTGCCGTCACAAATAGTCTTTTGACAGATATGTTTTTAAGGCATAGTTTTTTTCTCTTTTAATTAATTAATGTTGAATAAGTTTTTGTTTTTTTTTTGTTTCTATTAAAATTAAATATTAACTTCTTTTTATTATTATATTATTTACTTTCGTTGAAAAAAAAAAAAAAGAAAAGAAAAATTGAAATTTTTTTTCATTTTTATTTGTTTGTATTATGTCAGTTAAAAATCCCACTAAGATACGCATACACCGCTCGTTCACGTTTTCTAAACAACAACTCGTTTAAGCCAAGTTTTAATTTTGTTTGCAAATAAAAAAAATTATATTATTTTACTCATCTGCTGCCTCACAATTTGTTTTTTGCTTTTTTGTTTTTTTTTTTTTTTGCTTCTTTTGTTATTATTAAATCAAACACATCAACCGCGTACACAAGTTAAAACAAACACGTCTTTATGGAGACTGACAAAGCTTGGAGCATGGAATGGTTAGCTGGCTAACTGGCGGTTTATACTCAACTCACCATGCTTTGCTCCATTATCACAAAATTTCATATATACATATATATATGCATATATGTATATTTTACAAGTGGGAGCAATACAAACACACTCATATACATATACATAAAACGAGAGAAGAACTCTGTGTAAACAACTGCAAAACAATTCGTACTTGTTGTCTGTTTAGGTTTTTTTTTTTTTGTTGCTTTTGCAGTTTTTTTGCCAATAACTCAATGAAATTCACCTCAGTTAGTTTAAGCCGGTCATTAAATCAAATCAAGTTGTTGTTACTATTGTTGTTGTTGTTGTTGTTGTTATCGTTGCTTTTGTTGTCTGCATTATTTAAAGTGTTTCAGCAGAGAAAATAAAAATAAAAAAAAAAAGCAAAGCAAAACAAACCACAGATCGTAGAGCACTTGGAAAATTTGAGAATGAATATCTCAGCGTTTTTTTCTTATTTTTTTTTATTTAGTTTTTTTTTTTTTTTTTATTATTTTTGCGTTTTTTGAATGAAGAAAAGACGATAAGCGGTAGGCGGTTAAGTAAAGAGAGTAAGTAAGTAATGTGTTAGAGACTAACAACAATCACCAAACATTCATGCATAGCTCTAAACAGGCGAAACCTGATCGCCCAAACATTCTTGACATTTTTTTCGCAATTATGCTTTAGTTACAGATTAAAAATATGGTATAAACCTCACGGTTTTTAACTCTGCTTAGAGAGTTCGGATGCACACAATGCTTGCCTACATGTTTTTTTTTTTTTTTCGCTCACATCTTGAAAATTTTTCATTCCATTTATTTGTATGTATGTAAGTTGCTCATTTTATTGACTTTTTCATAAAAAAACAAAGAAAAAAAAAAAATGATTTATTTTTTTTTTTTTTTTAAAGCATCCAAAAAAAAAAAGCTTAATTTTGTATATATATTTTCTATTAACATTTTAATTTGAACAGGTGTTTTTCGAAGAGCTTTTCACCACCACTACCAACACCACCACCACCGCCACCAACTATTCATTCATTCATTTTACATGTGTACATACACCACCTACACCAATAAGGGGGGAGATGCTGTTCATGAGACTTCTGAATAAAAATCGCTGCATCAGATACGTGAGATATTTCATATGTCATGAATTTTAGAGTAGAGGTCGATAGTTTGGATAATTTATGACATATAAAGCATGTTGTATCACTTAATATACCAAAGCATTTATATGAAAACTCTTCTATTCCCTTGTACCTCTTGCATTCCATATTTACATTTCTTAGAAAAAATCTGCAACTTGTACTTGCGCATTACCGACTTGTAAATGTCCTTTGCAGGGTTGTGTAACATTTTGTAATACATAAATGCTATTTGAAACCTTTTTAAATAACTCTGCTCGCATCTCCAATCCAATCAATAAATCAAAAGAACATTATAGTCGGGCAAGGCCGATCTTTAAATACCCTACACCACATTGTCTAACACAATTCTGCTTGTATCTCTAATCCAATCAATAAACTAGAAGCGAAACAAGTAAGAACATTATACTCAGACAACGGCGATCTTTCAATACCCTACACCATATTGTCCAACATAATTCTTATTTTTATTATAGAACACAAAAATTATATCTTGTTTCCATTATAAAGTCATATTTTTCAAGTGCGTATTTAGGGGGAATCGGGCCCAAAACGCCACGTAATGTAATGCAAGTTTAATCCTTGCATAGAGCAAGATCCAAAAATAGACGTAAATGGCCCAAATTTTTGTAGAGTTCATTTTGGTGTGAAACTACTATTTTGGGTCAATTTTCACACAAACACACTATTAAAGCATAGACTTTTCTGCTCTACAAAATATTAGTTTTCGTGAAAATCCTTACGAGGGTAGGATCCAAAAAATAGTCAGTAATGATCCAAATCTAGAACAGTTAATCTTTTTATGTTAAAATACTATTATGATATAATAAACATCAGTTTGCATTATATGAGAGGGGGTTCAACAATTGTCCCAGCTGATCCAAAGTTTCCATAGCAATTAGAATGCAGAAGTACTACTATTCTAGCCACTTTTGCGAGAAAAAAAATCAAATATATAAAAAAATCAATTTAATTGAAGTTTTTGAACATTTTGAATAATTATCTTAAGGCTTAGGGAATGGCTTCAAGAATTTTGTAAGTTTCTCTTGCTTGGCAGTCTTTAAAAGCTCCTTCAATACAGACTGATAAGCAGCAGTCGCATTAGCAATTTGCCTCTTCGTTCGACTAGACGAATCAATGTTCGTCGTTCCATAGACGAATCAATATTCATAAAGAAATCGCCAAGCTCATTTGCCATTCTTAAACCTAAGACGACCAAAACTTTTCAAATTAAATGTTACGTTTCCAGTGCTTGTTGAAGCCTCTTCAGCAGTGGGCGGTGAATTTAACATTTCCTCCAAGTCGGTTTCAGTCAAATCTTCATCTTGCGATTCAAGCAATTCCTGAATGTCACCTGAATCTATCTGTTCAAACCCATCTCGCCCTATTCCATTCGCAATTTCGGCTATGTTTGCGGTCAAAGCACGAACTTGCACAGACTCTTCAGTCATTTTCCGCCACAGTTTTTTTCCAGCATGACTTCAATGTGTGTGACTTCAGTTCTTTCAATGATTCTTTTATGTTTACGATGCATTTTGCTACGTCAAATTTCTTCCTGCATTCCATAGCATTCATATCAGGAGTACATATCATATTATTCAATATGATTTTGAAGGTTCGTCTAATGTAATAGAGCTTAAAGGCCTGGATTATTCCTTGGCCCATAGATTGAAGCAAAGCCGTCCTGTTGGGAGATAAAATTATCACTTTTATGTTTGGGTGCATAGTTTCAAGTTCGCGAGAATGACCTGGTGCATTGTCCAAAACTAGAAGTGCCTTAAAGTCTAAATTCAGTTTTTTAAAATAAGTTTCGACCTCAAAAACAAAACAATTGCGGAATCAGTCACAAAAAACACGCGAATAAAGAAATTTATAGCCGCGAATATGGGAATTGGGTCGAATTTTTTTTTTTATACCCGAATAGTGAAACCGCGAATAAAGAGCTTTTGCTGTATATTTAATAGAATAAAAACAAAAGTAGACGGCGTAGTCGAAAGGCCTTCAACTATTCGAAAAGAAAAAAAAGGTTCAGTTTAATTAAGCTCATTTATTATTAGGCGAGCATCCTCTCCGATTATCATTATTAGTGATTTTTACCACTCCCTTCATTACGAGCTGAAAATTTTGCAGTCTTAAAGAAAAGTTTACGTGTGAACTCATTAGTACGAGTAAGTTTTAATCGTGAATCAATTTTCGTGGTTCAATACAACTAGTGATATATTAATTATTTCTCTCATCCTTGGTTATGTTCTTGAAATTGATTAAAGCGTTCATAGTTCGATATAGACGGATCGAATAGTGTACCGTATTCGTTGATCTCGTCTTCAATCTCGTCGTTAGAGAAAGTGCTCGTTCCGCCTAAGCATCTGTATTCAAGGAAAATGTCTTGAATCCGTAGACCGAGCGTCTGACAACCAAAATTTGAATACAAGCGATGAGTAGGATGTTGTCCCAAATTGCATTGTCGATGTGCACCAGGCAACTCGGAGAGTATCTTTTCAATAGCGATATTTCGCACAACTGTATGTTCGGATATGTTGACATGGCAACTCGGACAAGTGGCAAGCTGGTCGCGTAAACGACCATCGGCAAACAAACGATAAAGACAATCGGCGCACATCAGATGTCCACGCCGGCATTGATACACGAAACTCTCCGGTAACTTCGAGCAAACCATACAAGAAAACAAACCGCTAAGCCTTTCAGTCAGATCGTCTAGCTTTCGCTTTTTAAATGGCTGCTCCGCAATATCTACAGCAGTTCGAATCTCTTCCGGTTCTCTTCGTATTACCCCATTAGATGCGGACTGGACGGATTGCGTACGTACCGAAGCCGTGGCGCCTGGACCACAAACTGCTGTCAACGATGTCGCCCCAACGAATTGTGTTTGTTCTCGTTCTTGCATATAATCAAAAGTCCCTGTTGAGAGCTCGTCATCAATAAATGAAGATGCGGAATCCATTGGGTTGCTAATGTTAAGATAATTTTAATTATCATTCCCTTAACTTTTAATTTCCATTATATTCACTTACGTAGAGAAGAGGGTTTGCGATATCAATTATATCAAATTATTTCTTTTTGTAAATATAATTATTCCTTAAAATTTTTGGTTATTTCTACGTCGTATTCTCTGCCAAAAATAAATTTATTTTTTTTTATTTCGCAGATAGTATTCTACAAATATTATAAATGAATAACAAATATATCAATCGAGTGAAAAATAAGTTTGTTAAGAAAAGCAAAATATAGAAATTGTTGAAAATTTTCTCAATGACGACGACTGTGTTATATGAAAATATTTTTTAACAAGTAAAAAGACACGTATGTGAAAAAATTTGGTCAAGATTTAGTTCAGTATGGCTTATAGCTCTTATTGGCGGGCTTTCAACCGAATCTCGCTCATCTACGATATTTGTTCGACGATTTTGGTGTGATTTCTGCCAGTCTATGACAGGCAAAAAGTAGTTATTGTTT